CAGTTAATGTTTTTGAATAATGCCAGACAGTTAGGGTCAATGGTTATATTCTTGAAACTCTCTGTATAGTAGGACTGTATGTTTTAGTTGATTGGGGGAAAAAAGCAAATAATGAACAGGGTAATTTAAAAAAGTAGAAAGAGTAGTCAACCAAAATACTTGGGTGCTATTAGATGAGACTGTCAGCCTTCTACTTTGCTCTCTCAATTCTAAAATTGATTCACCTGTTTTCCTTGTTACCCTGGCCATGACTTCTCTCTTTACTGCTGTTTTAGGTACGTTCTAGAGATGCCTGTTCCCTGTCTGTGACTCTGTGCCACTTCCCGCATTCCTTGCAATGCATAGGGAAAGGCTGTTCCCTATGGACTGCAGAAACCTTCTTTTGTGGGAGAATTTATTCTTGGTTGGGCCACAGCACATCTTGTGAAACCGCATTAGACATTTGCAGCTGCTGAGCCTAACACAGCTAATTGCACAGCCTACAGAAGTGTTTACAACCAGGGCGCAATCTCTTCCTTCAGGGAGGCCCGTGAGTATTTCAAGGACACGGGATGCTGCCCTTCGTATTCTCAGTGTTTGACATGCCCAGTGCAGACCCCACAGAGAAGAGCTGAATTCAATTTTCTTTATGAATTTTAATATTCAACTTTTTAAAAGAGTATTCCATTTAGGAAAATAAGTTACATTAAAAAGGGGAAAGTTTTAACTGTTTTTACTGTACCCCCACACCTCAGTGAAGCAGGACTGTTATGGCTTGTGTTTAGATGTCCCCCCAAAGCTTCATGCTTTCTCAGAGGTGGCTGAACCTAGACTGTGTGATTGATTCCTGGCGGGGCTAGGCCCGAGGTCACTAAGTAGTCTGAGTAAGATAAAAGGGGGGCAGAAAGACGCTGTTAAGGTCCCTTGTTGCTTTTGCTGTGCTCCGCTGCTGTGAGCTGTTGCTTCTCTGCCACTTTGCCTTGGAGGCCGCCAACTGTGGACTGAAGCCTCTAGGAGCTATGAGCCAAATAAACCTTTCCCCCTTTAACTGTGGGTGACTAACACAAGCCAGTGTTACTCAAGCTAGGGCCATCTGTGGTTCTGGAGTGTAGCATTAAGAAGCCATGGGCACTGTTGATGAGTATCTCGTGCCTTCTCTGTTGGATTCCAGTCCATTCTCCCCCTTCTGCCCACTTTGAGGTAATCTTCCTGTGTACTGGACCATTTGTAAAGGATAGAGTGGCTTTGCCCTGGAGCCCTTACAGATGTTGGATTAAGATAAAAAGTTTCAAAACTGAGTGGTGACTGGTGCTTGCAATCCAGCACTCTGAGAGGCTGAGGCAGGAGGATATAAGTTCAAGCACAACCAGGCAATGAAGTGAGCCCTGTCTCAAAAAAAAGGAGGGGGTGATGGGAATGTAGCTCAGTGTGAAGGCCCTGGGCTCAATCCCTAGTACAAAACAAAAACAAAATTAAAAACAAAAACAAAAAAGAACCCCCACAAAACAAACAGAAAACCCCAAACCAAAACAAAGCAAACAAGAACCAAAACAAAAAAACTGAGGGTAGAAGGTGAAAATGGGGGATCACAGAGGGAAAGGCCCACACAGGTGGATTTTCATTCAGTTCCCAAGTTTTATAACAGCAGTTTTCCTGCCTCAACCTTAGAAAGTTCCCCTGATAGGGGCGACCTATCCACTTTAAAAAAAAAACTGTTGGCAGATTCGGCAAATCTCTATCACTAGGCATTGATCTGCAGCAGTTCATGTCTCCACTCTCCTTACTTCCTGCATGGGGGTCTCTCCAAAGGTTTCTGCAGAAGGGACATGAGTCAGCCCTAGGCCACTCCTGCAGTGGAAGCAGGGCTTCATCTGGTGGCCTCCAAGTGTGGCCTCAACTCTGTGCTGCCCCAGGGGCTCAGGCCCTGCTTGTGCCTCTGCTGCCCCGAGTCCTAGCAGGAGCCCTTAGTACACACCCTCTCCTTCCTACATGGTAACCACTGCAGATGCTTTGTCTTTGGTGCCTCCCAGCAGGCTGCAATCTTAGCTGTCTTCCAACTCCCCTCATGATAGGCAATACCCCTTGTCTCACCCCTGGGGAACTCACAGGGCTGCAGCATGGACACCTGAGACACTGCAGATAGACTCCTTCCCTGGTGACCTCTTTTGGTACCTGGGCTGTAATGAAGATGGAACCCTGGACATTTCTGAACTTCAGAAAGGCTTAGAGGATTTAGGGGTCTTTCAATCACTGGAGGAGGAGCAGGTGGGCTTCACTGAGGTTCTAATAAGAGAGATGTTTGGGCTGGGAGCCTTGGAGAAGCCTCGGCAGAGGGGTGAAACTAAGTTTTCACATCCCCAAGCTTGACCTGGGCCCACTGTAGTGTTCCCGTGACTTATCAATGTTACTCTTTATTAAGAATAATCTAAGCTATCTTTTCTCAAGCATTGTTCTCAGTTTTCTCCCTGGCTATAAGGAAATTCCCAACCTCAGATTTTTCTTCAGTTGTTGGCTGCAACTTTGTTTTATGGGGCCAGCTTACTCAATGTGCTCCCATGTCATTAGTAGCCTAGATTGTCATCTAGGCTAAAGATGCTCCCATCTGAGTTTGGGGAACTGGATCGCTTCATGTGTGTTTGGGAGGTGAGTGGTTGTTAGAGATTCTCTAGTGTTATAGTTTGGTTCTGTTCCTGGAAAGCAGGAGTGAGTGGCTTATACTCTTAAGGTTTCACTAGTGCTGAGATTTCTTCATATCATGCCTTAACGATCAGACCTTATCAAGACTGAGCTTGGACATCATTTTTTTTGAGAGCCCTTCTCTTTCCAATAAGCTAGATTATGGGCTCATTCTCAGTATGTACTGCCTCATGAATAATTCTGTCACAGTATTTCCAAGTTATTTTCTCTTGGAAATTATTACTATATACAATTATATATAATTGTATAAATATATACTATGTATTATATAGAATTATAATTACTGATTATATTTTCCCCTTGGATGTTTGACCCAGTACACTGGGAAATCCAAGAGGGTAAGAATTGTTGAATTGACCTCAGGTAATTGGCACTTTGTGCTCACAAAAATGTTGGTTGAGTGCTATCATGTTATGATTTAGTAAAATTCATCCTACTAGCTGTATGAACTTTGAGAGTCTTTATTTTAAGCATCCATTGTTGGATAATCCGTTGTATTTTGAGCAAATTCCATATGCCAAGCACTGCATCCTGCTTCCTGCATCTTTTCTTGTGGTTTAGATAAGTGTTCATCACAGGCCTCTGTCTAAAAGCTTGGTTCCCAGCCTTCGGTGCTCTTGGGAGATGGGAACCTTTAAGAGGTGCAGTCTGGTTGGAAGTTTTTTAGTCATATGGGAAAGTAGTCCTTGGAGGAGATACTGGGTTCCTGGTGCATCATCTTTCTCTTTGCTTTGCTCCACCACGAGTTCCTCACTGTGATATGCTACTTCACTGTAGGCCCAAAGGCAAAATTGTGAGCCAAACTAAACCTTTTCTCCCTTATTATCTCTGGTATTTTGTCACAGTGATGGAAAGCTGACTAACACATCTGAGATATCACAGACTAGGAGTGGATCCTGCCTGTGGGACAGATCAGTCCAAAATGTTATCTCTGTAAAGTTCACCAGAAGGCTCTGCTCTCACCATAGGTAATATTATATTTTAGGGAAGCATTGGTGAGATTTCCTCAGATAAAGTCACAGCTTTATGTGAGGTTTCTTCTCACATATCTTTAGCTTCTCTAGCAGGAAATTCATTCATATAGACAGAAGTTAATTTTTTTAAAAGAGAAGAAACTTACATTGTATAATGTTAAGATACAAAAGATCTTTTTCTCTTGATAACTAGTTGGTTTTTTGGAAGATATTTTGTTTTGTTTGGCTTTTTATTATGAAAAGTGAGAGATGGCTGTACAAATGAATAATGGCTGGGCTATCAGTAAAAATATAACTTTGACCCACAACCTGCAGCAAACTGTCTGAAAAACTAGCCCCTTATCTACCATAAACAGACCAGGAATCCAGCTTGGTATGTTAGGCTTGCAGGACTTTAGATCGCTATCTCTCATGACAATCCAGGAACCTGAGCAGCAACTTCTTTAACTATCAGACTCAAATGACTAGGACTTGATTAATAAATTAAAAGCTCCTAAAGTTCACACTGACACCTTCTCTAAGTTTTGTGTTTGCTTCAAGTTTAGGACCAATCAAAGAAAGCCGAATGTGCAGCCTCAGCCATACAGAATGCTTGCTTTGTAATTAGCATACAGCTTCCCCAGGCAAACAACTTCCCATCTGGGCATATCTGAAACTTCCCTTTTCCAACTACATAGCTGCCCAGTATTCCACCTACCTTTGAGTCTATCAAAACACAGGTGATGGTGGCTTACTACCTTGTTATTGTAAGTTTTCATGATAATCAGCCTTTGTTTTTCTTGTTTGGTTGGTTTTCACTTATTTCCACAGAGGAATATACAAGAAAATTCAAAAGAGAAATCTTAGGCTCTCATATTTTTGCTAAACTGAAGTCATTTGGTGATTGTAACTGTCTTTAACATGAGAAAGATTGCAAATATATATATATATATATATATATATATATATATTAAAATTAAACTTTTTAACATAAGGTTGGGAGATTTTCTGATTTTAGGAGTTAAAAGGAAAAACACTATGTTAGATACTTCAATCCTATTCTAAGCCAAGTGTTTGACTTCCATCTTGTGGCTTATAAAATATGTCAGGAAGTTTAGGTTGTGATTAGTTAGCATTAAAAATGCTGTGTTTTGTAGAAATGATTATTTTTCTAACTGAAACTTTAATGCAAGATCTGGAATTTTTTGCAGTGGAATACTTTTATTAAAGGTTTGTGCCATAATGGATGATGAATGTATCTGGCCAAAAGGTAGTCTTACAGCAAAACAGCCAATCTGCTTCAAGTATCTATATAATTAATTTAGTGCCGTTGCCCATGTTGACAATAAAATACCTGCATTTGTTTTGTAGAAAATTTTTACAACTGGAGACATCAACAAAGATGGGAAGCTGGATTTTGAAGAATTTATGAAGTACCTTAAAGACCATGAGAAAAAAATGAAATTGGCATTTAAGAGTTTGGACAAAAATAATGATGGTATGTGTTTTTCTTTTATTCATCACCAGCTATGAAGAAGAACTTCTCATGCTTCCAAAAGTCTAAAATGATGAGTGTTTTATTTTGTTTTGTAGATGATAATTATTATTTGTGTTAATATTTATTTTAGCAATTTTTTGTGAAGTTCATACTTTTAGTGAAGAAAACTATAAATAACTTTGTCTACTATAATTAAGAACAATCTTAAAATGTTAACTATGGAGCATTATGCTGATTTGACTTAAAGCTGTGGATTAAAAATGAGTGTGTTTTCTTGTCTTCTCAGAAGTATTTATTTTGTTCATATATAGGCATGTATTGTATATTCTAATATTTCTTAAACTTTCAGATGATTTTACATTTGATAATCTTTTTTTAAAAAGTTGCTTTAGAGAAAATACTTTCTGATTCTGAAAATTAGAAAAAAATAGCACGTACACATTTGAGTATGTACTTTCTGGTTGGACTTATGGCTTCTGTAGATTAATAGCTTAGAGTTAGAGTCCCAGTTATGTGGGGCAAAAAAACCAAAGGTCATGGTAGGAGAAAGGAGGAGTCATGAAACCCCTGTCTCCAGAGGCAACCTTTAACAAGAAGAGAGAATTTTATTAAAATTATAACAGCCCCAAACCCCTTCCCTACTTGTGAATAGTCAGAGCCACTCCATTTACAGTCTTGTTATTCAAGAAAGAAGGTGAATAAGTAGGTAGAGGGAAAATACGTGGTACTCATTTCAGCCAGGACAATATGTAAAAAATGGGTGTGTCTGGTTCCAACAAAACTTCATTTACAGACAGCAAGCTTTATTTGGCTTCACAATTACAGTTTTCCAGCCCCTGGTTTATACTGAACATAAATTTCAGTTAAATTCAAGCAAGCAAACAAATAGCTAAGTCTTTTGAATGATTTTGGTGATGATTCAGGTCTATGACTAATCAGCCAGGAAGAACAGGTTTTACTATTGGAACTTTTGTGGTGTCTAATGAACTGTACATTGTATATTCCCAAATCTAATCTCATTTCCATCTTCAAGCAAAATTCGCTTCTTTCAATCAACTTTCCTTCCTCCGTGGAAACTTTCTGTCCCAACTTGGACCCTCTGTGCTTCAGTTGCAGAGAGAAGATTGTGTAGTTAGGGCAGCAGATAGGGAGATGGACCTAGCCCAGGATCAACTGCCAGATAGTTAATGGCTAATCATTCCACTATGTAAGTTGTTTATTTCAGAAAATTCTAAGTGAGTTATAGGAAATAAAGATGAAATATTAATGATACATTTGTAGTATGTGTCAACAATTACCCCATAATTTATTTTTTGTGTATTTTGAAATAATTTATTATAGGTTCATATCTTTATCAGACTTCCTTAAAGCAAAGCATATACAGTTGATTCTCTTTGTGGACTTTGTGTATTTGCTGCTTACGTGCTAAAATATAACATTAAAGGTTACCCTAAAATCTATACTCACAATGCTTTCTCAGTCCTTCATGGACTTGCACAAGGCAGCAAAACATCTGTGCAACATGCAGATTCCTAGCTGAGGTAGAATATGGTGACATTCTGCCTTCTTGGTTTAGCTTTCAGAGTGTAACCAGTGTGCTTTTTGAGTTCTATTTCATGCCATGTTTTTTGTTGTTTTGTTTGCATTTTGTGCTTCTTTTGGAGGGATAACTTTGATTTTTAAAATGTTCCCCAAATGGAGAGCTGAAGTGCTGTCTAGTGTCCCTAAATATCAGAAGGCCATGGTATAGAGAAAATATGTGCATTTGATAAGCTTTGCCAAGTTCAACGGTGGTGAATCAACAATATACATTAATTAGGGCCGGAGATTTAGCTCAGTGGTTCTGTTGCCTGCCTTGCAAGCGCAAGGACCTGAGTTCCATCCCTGGTACCAAAAAAAACCCCAAAAACAATATATATTAATTAAATGAGGTGCCTTTAAACAGAAACATTCGTGAGACAAGTTCAGATATTGATCAGTTGATGAAAATGTGATCCGAAGCTTGCAGGAACTTCACTGTGTGTTTCCTGTAAGAGAAGTGGTTCAGATATTTCTAATTAAGTGGTTGCAGTGGCTTTATAAAACATGACTGTTTTGAATGCGAAGAACTGAGTGTAAATCTTTAAGAGTATGGTTGTAGAGAGGAACATTCAGAATGGTATTTGAAGAGTTTCACTGCTACACTTGATCCCTCTAACTGTCCTTGTACTGGCCAGATGCTATGATGTTTTCCTTTCCCCAGAAAGTTTCTCTCAGAATCCTGTCATTTCTTCAAGGTCCCTTTTCTAGGTGAAGTCTTTCCTTTCACCCTTAACTAACAGAATTTTTGTCTTTTTTTTTTTCCTGAGATGCTTGCTGTTAATGCTGCTTGGGTAGTGGTCTCTCATTTTATTATGTTTCATCCTGCTTCAGGTAGACTAGTCTTGTGATCTGCTCCAGGGAAATGCAGAATTGTTTACAATCATTGCTTACCCTTTGTTTGCCCTCTCTTCCTTCTGCTTGTTCTCGGCTCCACAAGTGGGATCTGATTTCCCTAATACTAAAAATTTTTCTCTTCCATTCCCCTTCTCTCCTTGCTCTATTTTTGCTGCTAGCTTTACCAAAGAAGAGTCCATACTCCTTGGCTCCATTTCTTCATTTTCTGCTTCTCTTTGACACAGTCATATAACTTCGTTCGTAGTAAACATCTAATCATGTATTATAATATAGAAATAGATACTTTTCAAATGAGTACATCCTAGGTTAATTGAATTTACCTCATAGTTAGATTTTGCTTTGAATCTCTGTTGTCCTTGTCTTGAATCTATCACTCAGTAAGGCTGCCTGGGCTCTTGGCCTCTTCCTCAGAAGAATATCATTACTTATTGTTACGATTACTGAAATAATGTGTGCATATTGGCTCATGTACTTATTAAATTTTGCATTGCAATGTGCAGTTAAGCAAATGTATAAATTTTCAAAATGTATAATTTTGCCTTAATCATTTTAAAGCATTCTCTTAAATGAGAAATTTGAAATTCACGTTTTTTGAGGTGCTTTTCAATTCTGAGTTTATGCTATTTTTATATTTTTAAAGGAAAGATTGATGCTTCAGAAATTGTCCAGTCTCTCCAGATACTGGGTCTAACTATTTCTGAAAAGCAAGCAGAGTTGATTCTCCAAAGGTAAGCTCTTCATCTTATTGACAATTATTTTTGAGTTTAATATTCTGCATTAGAGAATTCATATATTCATATGTGTGGCTTTAAAATACTTCCTGTCCCTCACCATTCCTCATTATGTACATCAATTATCTCTCTTTTCCCTTTTTCCCCTTTCGTTTTGTGTGTGCACATACATATCTGTAGTACAGTAAGTCTCTGACTTGCAAACATTCCATGCATTCATAGAAGCAAACAAATTGTAGAAGTAGCCAGACATTGTCACAGTTGTGCTGCTGTGTGCTTACTGTGCAGTGTGATAGTGTACAGTAGTACAGTTTCAATCAGAGCCCCAAATGCCCGGAAGCAAAAGGGAAAGCAGTGGTGATGTGGAGGAAACTGCTAGGAATCACAAAGCAATGCAGATTGTATATTTGTATCAGTGTATAAGACACACTTTGTCAGTCTTAGGAATGAATCCAACTTACGAATGTTCTCTTTACTGTATAGAAATGGGGGCAGGAACCTCAGACTACTCTTTCTTGCAAAGCCCCAGTGGCAGTGGGATAGCAGTAAAGAGTTAAATTTAGAGATAAGGAACCAAAGGCTTGGGTGTTGCTACCCCCCACTTGGGTTCTAATATGTCAATAGAACTGGTTTTAAGGTAAAGAGTCTAGTATATTCTTCAGGTTATTTAACCTACAGGCGAATAGATATGAGGGAAGTTCCAAAGCTCTCCTGGCTAACAAAGAAATATTGATTTAAATTGATAGATCAAGAGATGCCAGTTTGATCATTATCGTCCAGGGCAGTCAGGTCAACTTTGAGTGAGTCATACTTTTATAGAGTTACTGCTTTATTTCATAGAATAGAGCCATAACCTCTGAAGTCCAGGTACTTTCGAAAGGATGATACAATATATTACTATTCTTATGAATGTTTTCAGCCTTCACATAACTAAAAAGTTTCTTCTTAATAGCTTCATTGTTAGATTTATCTCCTTTTATATCTGTATTTTTCCTCACAGAAATACCTATTTCTTATGGGAAAATACATTAGCATTTCCTTCCTTTCTATCTATTCAGAATTTATTTTATAAGAACCTGTCCAACAAGAAGGTTTAAAATCTCAAAATTGAACATAGTGTTACTTTTGTTAACAATGGATGAGAAAGGCTTTCCTGAGAAAATGAAAAACTAAAACATGAAAAGAAGATAGAATTTTGACCATGGGATATCGATATTTAAGATTTTGCTTCTAAAGTCACATTCACCCAGGAAAATGAGGGTTTTCCTCTTTTTTCTAAGGAGTATTCCCATATTTCCTTTGGTGGCTTTAGGAATAATGCAAATTGTAAACAAGCTACGGAATAGATCAAGGTGCATTCATTGGCTTTGGCTGCTATAACAAATTACTGTAGACTAATATACATTCTTAATGACTTTTGGTTCAAAGAGAAAACTATAAATGGAAATTCAAGGATATTTTGACTTGAAAACATTAAACTTGTGTAATATTTCTAAGGTGACACTTGGGGGGAATTTTATCTTAAAACTTTTATTAAAAAAGAGTAAGGCTAAAAACTATTAGGTTAATAAGTTAGGGGAGAGAACCAAAATAATCTCAAAGAAGATAGAAGGAAGAGATAATAAAGACAGTAGTGGAACTAAATAGCAAAGTCATAGATAGCATCAAATAAGCCAAAAGTTGGTTGTTGGAAAAGACAAACCTCTGGAGATATTGAGGGAAAAAGAGAAATGAGATGTAAAAAGTTTTTTTTGCAAATAGGCATCAGAAACTCTAAAAAGACTAAATGTTATATATGGTTTTATGCCAATAAATTGGAAAATATATAAAATAATTTCTAGAAAAATACAGCTTATTAAAGTTGTATCAAGAAGTAACCAATAGCACTTAAACAAAGAGATTGCATCAATAATTAAAATTTTTCTCATAATGAAACTCTAGCACCAGATAGTTTTAGAAAACTATCAAAGAACAGAACTAAAAACATTTCCAAAGTGTAGAAATACACTGTCCAATCTTTTCTGCAAGAACGCTGTAACCATTAATGCCAAAAACAACAAGTTAATGAAGGAGGGAAATTATAGGTTGATATGACTTATGACATAAATGTAAAAATTTAAAGAAAACATTAGCAAATAGAATCAGCTGTATATAAAAAACCATAATCAATACATTTATAAAATAACAAAATTTCACTAGATGATATTAAAGAAGTTTCAGTATAGAAAAGATGTGTTTTCTCTCTAAGTTGGTAATAGAGATTTCATACCATTGAAAAGAACCTGTGTGCTTTTTTTTTTTTTGAGGAAACTATCAATTTCAGCCTAAAACTTGTACCAAAGAGCAAAGGTAGAAGAATAACCAAGACATTCTTAAAGAACATGAGAAACTAGAAGCCTGCCCTCTGAGATGTCAAGAGTTGTTATTAAGCTGTACTTAGGACAATGGCATTGCTATAGAAATAGACAAGTTGACAAGTGGAACATAATAGAGATACTGACCCATTGATATTTTGGATTTGTCATATGAGAGAAGTAAGTTTGCAAATTTCCAGGAACAGGAGAAACCACAATAAATAGTGCTGGTGTACGAAAAGGAAATTGGATACCTACTTAATACCATACACAAACATCAGCCTAACATGTAAGTTAAATTATATCTCTGTTAGGGAGCTAAAAGGAGTGTCTCTATCTCAGAGTAAGAATTTATTTTTAAAACAATACAAAATGTGCCCAAAATGAAAAAAATTGATAAATTCAGGTGAATTAAAATTAAAGCATCTATACTTGGACACTATAAATAAAGTGAAAAGACAGAACAATTATTTGCCAACTTGTAATTTGAAAGTTTAAAGTCAATTATATGAAGTATGGATAAGCAAAAGACATGTAGCCCATTGAAATTGGGCAAAAGACACAAAGTGGCATTTCATACAAGAAGAAATATGAATACCAAATAAATATGGTAATGAATGCTCAAACAATTTGAGAAATGCAGCTCAGACATACAGTGAGACTATCTTACCTGAGAATCTTGTCAATACTAAGTGTTCCTTGACCTTCAACTACAAAATTTGAAATTCATTTACTTATTCAATGGATATTTAGTCTGTGCCAAGTACTCTTTTAGATACTTCTTTTATATTAGTGAATGCAATAACAAAAATCCTTCCCTTGTGGGGGGACGATCATTTGTGGCAGATTAGGAGTTTGAGTCAGACAATAAAGAACTGAATTAAAAGAGAAAATAGTGGTAAGCATACAGCTGCAATTATTGCAACCCAGAGTGATATTATAAAATATCTAAGTATAAAATAATATTTAGAAAATACAACAGTAGCTTAAGATTGCATTTCATTTACTGCTATCTTTAGTCATAGTTTCCACACAAATTGTAGAATAAAATTCAGAGACACCAAAATTGATTTTTTTCAGAGACATCAATTAATTTAACAAATAAATGAGTATTTTCTTTATGCCAGCTGGTTTAGGATGTAGTTATACTGTAGTGAAAAAGATAGTCAAAATTGTGCCACAAAGGTTTGTTACTCTCAGGAAAAAAACCTCTGATGTAAATGGCTTTATTGTCAAAAAGCTTATAAATCAAACAAAAAATTTGATAGATATTTAAGATTGTAATATGTTAATTTTAAGGTTGTAAACAAGGATTTTTAAGAATTGAAAGGCCCAAGCATCAAGAGCTTGCTTTTTCACAGTCACTGCTAAACTTGGTTGAAATTGGAAAAGGAGACTGATAGCATATTTTGAGTATATTTCAAAATCACATCCAAATGTTACAACAGACTGTTAAATTATCTTCCTGAACCAGGGTAAGAGAAAATGATCATGAATCCATTCATTGCTACCTCCCAATATCTTTTTGTCCATTTTTGTATTTTATAGGTGATTGACTTAGAGTTTGACAGTGTTGAACGTAGTCTTCAGTGAGCTCTGTGTAATTTTGGGGCCCTTTTTAAATCTAGATTGTTAAAACTAACCAAGAGGACTATAAAATGCCTGCTGCTATTTCCAACAATCTATAATCATTAATGGGATTTAAAAAATTAAATAAAAGTATTAAGTTGGAAAAGAATGACCAGTGAGGTAATTTTATTTATCTATTTTATTTTTTTTCAATTGTTTTTTAAAAACTTTCAGCATTGACGCTGATGGGACAATGACAGTGGACTGGAATGAATGGAGGGACTACTTCTTATTTAATCCTGTTACAGATATTGAGGAAATTATCAGATTCTGGAAACATTCTACCGTAAGTGTGCTTTATAGGTGCTTTTTTGGAGCTGTACGCCTTACACCGTAAGTATAGTTGTTATGCAAGAACACAATGTGACATTTATGGGATAGGGTGCCCAAGTCCCAGTGGAATCCCAGTAGCTCCTTAACGTGTAGGGTTCTTTTTGTACAGTTAGGCATAGATTTATAGGGTATCTTAAAACCCTCCAAGACTGCATAAATACAGCTATTCTCAAAAACTTAGAAGATGTACAACCTTGATGATAAGCTCTGCAGCTGGTTTTTTTTTTGGTACTGGGGATCGAACTCAGGACCTTGCATGTGAGAGGCAGGCGCGGTGCCATTGAGGTAAATCCCTGGCCCGGCTCTGCAGTTTTTATTGCCACTTAAATATCCTACCATAAGGAAATCTAAAACTCACAGACTTTTATTTTTTATAGATACATATTGCTTAAATGGTTTCAAGACTTCATGGTTGCTAAGGATTTATTACCTTGACCATTGATGATAAAGCCAAAGATCTCTTCTGAAATGGCTTGTTATGTTGCCTAGATTTATCTCTGGTATAAGGCATATATAACAATCACTGGGTTACAGAATCCTTTTGGCTCATTTGCTCAGCAATTCATATTATGAATTCTGTATAACTTTCAAATTTTGATAAAGTTCATTAATATTCTGCTAAAATGTATTTGTCTAAATTAAGTTCAGTTGTGCAATCTTCTCCCAAAGCCATTGGGAACTCTGTGAAGGAATTTCTTTTCCTAATAGGTTTGTCTTCACGGATTTCAATAAATCTAATATGCACTAACTGAAGCCTAGAGTCCAGTTTGCCTCTAGTTACAATGTCTGAGCTTAAACAGAGCATTATAAAATGATTGGTCATTTTCAACTATGACTATAAAATAATACTATAGTAGTAGTTCACTTGACCAGGGAAATTTTATACTTATGTGAAGTTTTATTTACATGATTTTTATTTTATTTGGGGGATAACAACAATACAATCCTATGTCCATTGTATTGATAGTAAAATGGAAGAGAGGAAAGGATTGCTACCAAAGCATAGCACAGCTCTTTACTGTTATACTCCTGCCTATAAAATCTTTGAGGCAAAAATCTTTTTTTTAAAAAATTTTCTTGCAGTGCTGGGATCAAACCCAGGGCCTTAAGAGAACACTAGGCAAGTATTGTACCATTGAGCTACATTCCCAGTCTCCAAACAATTTCAGTAATAAAGTTGTAAAAATAATGTCATTTTAGAACTTTGATTTTCTCAAATTATATTTGTAGTCTAAATAATGTTTAGAATAAATTGCAGAAGTGACCATTTCAGATAATACCTCCTTGTTAGCTAATTTTATGAAGAATCTATTGCATGTTTTAAATGACAAGTCAGATTTATAAAAATGATCTATATCCAGTCAGTATAAGAGATGAGTTAAGGCACATTCTTATATATAGTTTTTAAAAAAATTGTTATTTATATATTTAAAACATGTATCATGTATAAAGTATAATGTAGATATAGTTTTGAGATACGGTATCTTTGAAGAATTACAATTTCTTAAAGATGTCATCATCAATTGGACATGGTTTTCTAGCATTATGAAATGGCTGTAACTGAAAGGGATTCACACTATCTGATAAAAGCTATCCTTTCATGATAACTTAGATCAACAAGAGAAAAATCGCTGAATCTATAAAAAAATAGGGCCGGGGATTTAGCTCAGTGGTTCCGGCGCCTGCCTTGCAGGTGCAAGGTCCCAAGTTCGATCCCCGGTACCAAAAACGAAACAAAACAAAACAAAAAAACAAGAAAAAGAAAAAAATAGAGTTGTAATTACTAGTTTTGTAGACTTATTATTATTGTCAATTTTAATTTCTTATGAACTGATACTGGATTATGTTTCATGTGAAGATTGTTTATAATCATCTATGTGCTCAAATTGTTTCATTATAAACCCTGAAGAATAAAGTTGATCCTAACTGTTAAATAATGCATGATTCTTTTCTAAAACAAAACAAGAAATGTAAGCTTATCTATTTTTAATTGAAGCAATGTGTGATCCGTTTTCCACTTCACAGGGAATTGACATAGGGGATAGTTTAACTATCCCGGATGAATTCACGGAAGATGAGAAAAAGTCTGGACAGTGGTGGAGGCAGCTTTTGGCGGGAGGTATTGCTGGTGCCGTCTCACGAACAAGCACCGCTCCTTTGGATCGCCTGAAAGTCATGATGCAGGTGAGCCTTATGGTGTGTGTCTGGGTTTGACTTAAATATTCTAAAATACTGAGTAATGAGGTTCACTAAAAAAAAGTTTTAAAATTTCTCAGTAATAGTCTTTCATGTATGTTTTTTAAAATTTCTGTTTTATTGCCATTAAGTGTTCAGTTGAACCTTCAATTGTTGGTACATATATGTAATAAATTTTAAACTTTGGCATTCTACTTTTTTTTTCCTGGTACTGGGTATTGAACCCAGAGCCTCTGCACCAAGCTACTCCTCCAGCCCTTTCTTTTATTTTTTGTTTTGAGATAGGGTCTCACTACTTTGCCCTGGTTGCCCCTCAACTTACTATCCTTCGGCCTCAGCCTCTGTATCAGTTAGGGTTTGTTGGAGGAAATATATATA